GGACAATCCAGTACTCAGTCTCATCGCTGACACTCCACCCAGCCACGGAAACGACATGGTTTATGAAGGTGGTGCCCTGGTATTGGGCATAGACGCCTCCGGAGTAGTTAGCCACCCTTTCTGTTGCCATTATTCCACAGCTGATGGGACCATTTGCGTAGATTTCTGTCATCACCTTCTCCCTCCCAGAGACAGAGCCGTAGTCTCCCACTCTCCAGAGGGTGTAGCTCCGGATGGCATGGCACTCTGAATTCATTGCATGTCCCACATTGGTTAAACTTGTCACACTCCTGGTCCTTGGCCTGGTAGTTGTTCAGGTCTCATCGGGGATGCCGTGCCGGTGGGGTACTCCCACACAGGCAGGTCGTTGCCCCCTTCACCGGAGCCAGCGTCACCGCAGTCGGTGACGTGCTGCACAGACAGGAGGGCGGAGGGACACGCACCCTTCCTCTTGATGTTGATCTGATCCGCCATGGCGCTGGTGCTGGCGTGGGCCCAGCAGGAGCCGCAGTCCTGGGGATGTGCTGGTTCCTGGTGATGCTGGCATAGTTGACACCACCCACACTGCGCCAGTCCCAGCTCTTGGGCAGATCCGCTGGCGACAGGTACACATGAGGCCGGGGGTATGTGCTGCGCCCCCGCGGAGCCAGCGGGTCCCGGCGCAGGGGCCGGTGGCAGGTCTGGCCCGGGCGGAAGCAGAGGCGGCCCCGCGCAGCGCCCGCAGGCAGCACGAGCAGCAGCAGCGGCTGCCAGTCCGGCTGCGCCCCGCCGGCTCTCGGGTCCTGCTCTGGACCGGGCTCTGGGTCCCAGAACCCGCTCCGCACCCAGCCGACCCCGCCCTATTATCATTATTTTTTAATTTTCCAGACAGAGTCTTGCTCTGTCACCCAGGCTGTACTGCAGTGGTGTGATCTTGGCTCATGGCAACCTCTGCCTCCCAGGTTAAAGCAATTCTGCTGCCTCAGCCTCCTGAGTAGCTGGGACTACAGGAGCCTGCCATGATGCCAGGCTGATTTTTTGTATTTTTAGTAGAGATGAGGTTTCACCATATTAGCCAAGCTGGTCTTGAAATTCCAACTTTGAGTAATCCACCCACCGCAGCCTCCCAAATTGCTGGGATTACAGGCATGACCCACTGCACCCAGCCAAAAATCTTTTACTTTAAATGTTAAGATGTAGCTACTATTTTATTAAATATTTACTATTTGACTTTTCTGAATTTTTTTTCTTTTTTGATAAAGACGCGGTTTCACCATGATGGCCAGGCTGGTCTTGAAATCCTGACCTCAGGTGATCCACCCACCTCGGCCTACCAGAGTCCTAGGATTACGGGCATGAGCCACCATGCCCAGCCAACTTTTCTGAACTTTTAGTTTATTCCACTCACCATAAAAGATACTCTTTTGGCCAGCCTCGGCGGCTCACGCCTGCAAGCCCAGCACTTTGGGAGGCCAAGGTGGGTGGATCACCTGAGGTCAGGAGTTCGAGACCAGCCTGGCCATTATGGTGAAACCCCATCTTTAAAAAAAAAAAAAAAAGATACACTCTTTTTTTTTTGAAATGGAGTTTCGCTCTTGTTGCCCAGGCTGGAGTGCAATGGTGCGATCTCAGCTCACTGAAACCTCAACCTCCCGAGTTTAAGTGATTCTCTTGCCTCAGCCTCCTGAGTAGCTGGGATTACAGGTATGTGCCACCATACCTGACTAACTGTGTTTTTAGTAGAGATGGGGTTTCTCCACGTTGGTCCGGCTGGTCTTGATTTACCATGACTTATTGTAAAGAACATAAAAGATTTCAGGCCGGGCGCGGTTGCTCACGCTTGTAATCCCAGCATTTTGGGAGGCCGAAGCGGGTGGATCACGAAGTCAATAGATCGAGACCATCCTGGTCAAAATGGTGAAACCCCGTCTCTACTAAAAATACAAAAATTAGCTGGACATGGTGGTGCACGCCTGTAGTCCCAGCTACTCGGGAGGCTGAGGCTGGAGAATTGCTTGAACCCAGGAGACAGAGGTTGCGGTAAGCTGAGATGGCGCCATTGCACTCCAGCCTGGGTAACAAGAGCGAAACTCTGTCTCAAAAAAAAAAAAAAGATTTCAGATTGTCTTGGTTAAGTTTATTAGAATGCCTTATTTTATTTTATTTTTTGAGACAGGGTCTCTGTCAACCAGGCTGGAATGCAGTGGCACAATCATAGCTCTCTGCAGGCTTGAATTCCTGGTCTCAAGGGATCCTCTCACTTCAACCTCCCATGTAGCTACGACTACAGGAATGTGCCACCAGGTCCAGCTAATTTAAAAGAAAAAAATTTAACAGGGGTGGGGTCTCACTGTGTTGCCCAGGCTGGTCTCCAATTCCTGG